GGTGAGTTTCGGTGATGCAAGCAACACCGATTGACTTATCCTCGAGGAAGTGTTCGAGTTCAGTCAATTTACCTCTAATGCTTTGGGCATTCCAGGAAACTATACGAAGGATGTCTGACTGAACGGTGTTAGACATTGGTGGTTTGTTGTGAGGCGGCGACAATGCTGGCGACCATGGTTTGAACAATGACTTGAAGTCATTGTTCCAAACTTGGGATTGCAACTACAGCTGGTGGAGTGTTTGTGTTGCGTTTTTGGGCGGGGGAGGGGGGGCGGTTCTTACTGCCTTGGCGTAGGACATTTGGGAGGGTGCTACTAAAGTGGTAGCCGAAGGATGGGCGGTAGTTTTTGTGCCTTGAGAAGCAACGGGAGTGATGATTTTCTTGGGGGGTGAAGGAGAGGTCTTTTTGGGGACCTTGGGGCAGCCGCGGTAGGTGGCGCGGTGGTTCCCTTTGCAATTGGCACAAATAGGAGTAGCATCCTTCTTGTCGTTGGATTTGCACTCGGCAGTGATGTGGTTGCGGCCGCAGAATGCGCAGGGCCAGGCTGCGTGGCAGTAGTTTTGGCTGTATGGAAAAACTTCATACAGCGGCGGCATTGAGGAACTTCCTTTGTGGCTTTTTTTGGATCAACTTTGATGTTGAGGCCGCAGAGTTTACCAAGGTCGAAAATTGCCTTGGAATTTGAGGCGGTCTTATCAAGACGGACGGAGACAAGGGGCCAGATTTTATTACCTTTAGACATACGATGTATGCCTTTGATAATAAAGCCTTTGTGGCTTAGTTCGGACTCGATGTCCTCTGTTGGGATGTCTTCGCAGACACCACGGATAACTACGTGAAGGTCACGGTCCTGCTGTAGTTGGTTCGTCGAGAATTAGACCAGGAAAGAGGATAGACGACGAAAAACGTCGATGAAGCTGGGATAGACTCGAATTGAGTCTTGGGTATTGATGGACCTACGGGCGGTGATACCGTGATTGTCCATGGCACGAAGAATTTTCGGCCAAAGGGACTTTTGTCGTATGACGATTGGCGGTGGAGATTTTTGACTTAGATTTGGTTCTAAGTCCGATTCGTTGTCCGAAGAGGAAGATGACTCGGATGACGACAGGAAAGGCTGTTATCGGCGGCGCTTGTTATCGCGTTTGGCGCCGGTATGCGGAACTACGGATGAAGACTCCATGTCTTCGGTCATGGGCGTAGGGGCTGCAGCGGTGGAGTGTAAACGAATGAATTCGTTTACTGTGGCGAATTTGGCCTGAAGGTCACTCGCCAGGGCAATGGGGTCCGCAAGTGAGAATCCCTCTAAGAGTGCGGAGCTCTTGGGGTTAGCCATGCTGAAAATGGCTAGCTGACTGGATGTTATGTGACTTCGCACAATCAGGAATATAGGTATAAAATTAAGGAAATGTATTGACTTGAAAAGGTTTGTTTGTGTTAGTTAGTAGGGTACGTTGTAGTTCAAAGGGACATTGCGTACTCCGTCCCAGAGAACTGTAGGTTAATTAAAAATAAAATAAAGTAAAACTCTTACCTATTACGGCTGGGCTGAATATATTGATGGCCTTGAGCGGTTAATTGTCTAGTAACGGACAGTTTTGTTGAACGCCTGGTTCGCTGGAAAGCTCTGGTCGTTTCGGTGATACCAATCGGTGCGGTGCAGGTGATGTTCGTACAACGAAGGTCGACCGCAGAGTGAGTGTATCCGGGAACTGAAATTATTAATATAAACCTGTAACTTTAAAACCACTAACAACTAAATAAATGTTATCAGTCGCACGTTTCAATATAGGGAGAGGGAATGTTGCAGGTACCTAGAGCATTTTGGTCGCTTCGAGCTTGCCTAATACAAAAGTGGTTGGGCTGCACACGATTTTCGCTTCAAATATGGTCGCGTCGACTTTATAACATTTCAACTAATGAAAAACAATAATAATAATTTTGATGATGATTTGATTATTAAAAAAAAAAACAAAAATTCAAAAATACTTAAATGGTTTGTTCCATCCAATTTATTTATTAATTTAGAATTTATTTAACAGGAAAACTGTAAAATTTTAATAGGTGCATCATAAGGTCAACTTCGGTCAGAAAGTGCTGCGTATTTTGAAGAAATTATTTTAATTCGTTCAGCATCAGAGTAGGTACGTTATGCAGATGAACATAATTTGCTTGTATACATGTCGAATAATTTTCAAACACAAGGTATCTTTCAGCAATGTATTTCTTTTTAGACAACAAGATATGTAAAGAAAGTACTTTCTTTATTTTTTTTGCCGCGCTGCATGTATGACTCGCGCCCTTTAATTAATTCCCGCTACATAAAACAACAGATAAAATGACTAGCAGATTTTGAGGGTTGGAAAATAATACATCAAGAGAAAATCAGTATACAGAATAAGAAAGAAATACAGATTAAATCAGTGACTTAATAAATAGATTTTTTTGAGAGAGTGTTAATTGAGTAAAGCAAAGGAGTGATAATAATAAACTTTAATTGTTGTTTCATTTGTTTTACTTATATTTTATTGTTACTTAATACTTACACGGATTATACTTTTTAAGTATTATAGACCATTTTCAAAAACGTTCCTTAATTATACGAAAAATAAAAATGGACATTTATTTTTGTTAATATAACGCATATTGACGACAATTCTGAAGAAAATGAAATTACAGAAAAGGGTGTCGACCGGTAGAAGGTGCAGAGGGGGAGGGTTGTTACCTACACCTACATTACATCTCCAACCTCCAAATGTAAACCGAATAAATATATTAGTATAAATGAAATTTATTCTCAAAAAAATTACATCATGCTGCGTTACATACCAATTTTCTTCGTGACGAAGCTATCTAAAGCGTATTCAAACCAAAACTCACAATAGTAAATAAATGCACATCTCGTGGTCGCTTCGTACCAAACAGAAGACGCACGAAACATGCGTTCGTATGTACTGGTGACTTGATTTTGAATACACTTTAGGCACCTTATTACCCTGAACCACCTCCATAATTTTAATTGCTTTGATTTGATTACGCTATAATGAATGAAATTCGAAATGGTCAGTATACTGTCGCAACTGCTTGATGCGGAACGCGACTTCGATCTTATTGGATCTCATCAGCGCGTCGCAGACAGTATCGACAGAACACAGACCTTCTTTTTGGTTAAATTATACTCGCGGAGAGGAAATCATCAAAAAGACACCCCCTGAAGGGAGGTAGTGTCGGATTCTTACCGACTAAAACCCCTCCTCGAGCGGGGAGATAAACCCTGTGGGGTTGCTCATCCACGGGAAGAAAGTGGAAGGTTGGGAAATGGTTTAAGAGTGTGGATAGAAGGGAGTGTTGGAGAGGAACCGAAGTAGGTGGTTCACCTCTAAAGTGCTGGATGGACACTGGCGCTAAAAAGCGAAGAGAACACAGACCAACTCTACCTGCTTCCTTAACACCACGCGTTTTATGGAATCCTACAAATGGTGCGGTAAACGCTATCTGTAGTGCAATGCTACTGATGAGATCCAATAAAATCGAAATCGCGATCCACTTCTGGCAGTTACGAAAGATCACCACTTCGAATTTCCTTGTTCGATTTTGGTATCAGTTCAGCAAGTAAATATCCATCTATTTAAATGGACCTTATTGAGCATATTGACTTCCATTAAATGTAGCATTGTACTACAGATGGCGTTTACCGCGTCATTTGTAGGATTTCATTATATGTCTATTTTATTCCATGCTATTTTTTAACAGCTTTACTATATTAAATTTTGAACATATCTCTAGCACAGCTAGTTATTTAATACTCTTTATGCACAAATAACCTAACCTCAATGCTTATTTAGTTAAAAGATAGAACATATCTAAACCAATTCAAGTGTTTCTCTCATTTGAGCTTTCATCATAAGTTGATCTTATCAATTTGGAACATCAGTTTAAAATTTTATTCAGAAAAGCTGCTAAAAATTAGCAGCCCGCAGGGAGTTAGTAATTATGTACTGGCGCTATACCTTGCAATAATAAAATTTCAACTGTTGATGTATCAATTTGTGTCTGATGAATATTCCGAAATATTTAAAAGGTAACATCTGGAGCCACTGTAGAGTGCATTTCGTGATAGTCTCAATACGTAGGGCGTATAAAAAGCATTCACAAAAAGTACTCTACTTAACGAGCCGTCAATGATTGAGAGCAGTTGTCAGGTTAGTAGGTGACGAAACACACGTACCTATTCGTGACCTTCGCAATAGCTGTTCCGCAAGCAAGTCAATTGCACATGATAATGATTAGTAGCTTATCCATGATTAGTAGTACTGCACTCCGGGGTTACTGTTCGATTGGAGAAGTTACTGCTATTACCACAAGATATAAAAATTAATTTAATATGAACGTATCAAACAAAAGCAATGTATTCGCACGCAGAATATGAGGACATGATTTCGCGTTTTCCTAGGTGGCAGATACCTGACGTAGGATGTACCTTCGTTGGTTTTGCGGGTTGTACCGTCACTGTACCAAAAACTGGTACTCCATTCCTTCCTTGCTCCATTACAGCAGATAGCGATATTGTCTTACAAAATCACGCTAGGTAATCCTGATCATCATTGTTGGAGCATATGGGGCTTTCGATCAAATCATTACCCTCATGTTTAGTTATGTCACTAAGTGGTGCGGGATGGATCATTCTGTTTTTTTTTCTTCTCCCGTAATTTTTGCGAAGTAGTGATCTGGCGTAATGTATATTAAAGACGGATGATATTAAACGTGCTTGACAGTATTATCATTAACGTTATAATTTTACTGGGGTTTTCACTGATATTAGTTTCATATATCTTTTGCACCTAACTATATGATAATCTTTCCTAACCTTCTTCATTGGCTTTATATCTTTCTTTACACATGTTGTATCATTATGCTATTAATTATATCATTTTCTGTGTAAACTTTATAACTTACTAATATATTCTTTCAATTATTTCAGATCCCCTTGAAGATTCTACCACGAGTGGTCTTCGATGAACATTGACTTCCAGAGTAAGCAATAGTGCGCGTTACTTTCCAAAGTATAAAACAAACAAACATTAGCCTATGCAGTAGTTAATGACCTCGTCATTATTTCAATAAATTGTCTATTAAATTTCCGCCAGCACTTTTATGTTAAGGTTAAAATAAAATTGAGGCGCTGTTTCCAAAATTTACACTATTGACAATTCTGTGGCATTTCTTGGGTATGTGACCCCTTTTCAATATTTAAGAGCAAAAAAAGACAAGAAAAGGTAAATGAAAGCGACTACAAATCGAGATAGAAATTTCAACAGAAGACTGAACGTGTCAGGTTTAAATCTGACAATGACCAACAAAACGAAAAAACGTCGTTCCCCGTCGCCGGTTGGTAGTACTCAGGTAGCCGTTTCCGGTTCCGGTGAGAAACATTTTCCAAGCTCTTGGCCGATTTACAGCTTAGTTAGTACAGTGGCGGTGGCGTGCTATATAAACGGTTTAAACGGCGATTTTGTACACGACGATATTCCCGCGGTGACTCTTAATAAGGATGTACTCGCTCGAAATCCGCTCATAAATGTTTTCAAAAACGACTTCTGGGGAACCCCGATGGCCGATCTCTCGAGCCACAAGTCTTACCGACCGCTCACCGTTCTCACGTTTCGGTAAGTCAATTATTTTATCTAGATATAATCCTTTCAAGTTTACGTAATGGTCGCATTCTACAGGTAATATCACCACATACTCCAAATTATCTGTATTTGTCATAACAAGTGGTTCAGTCAGTATTCTTATTTTTTTACGCACAACGGAAGAGAAACTCAATTGAGGACAAGGTGGTGAATTCTTAGGGTACACTATAATTAATTGTTATCAAAAATCAAACTTAATCACTACAAAATTGTCTTCAAAGAAACACCTCGGAACAGTATTTAAATTTTTATTTTCATGTCATCAAATCCAATACAAAATCAGTGTTTTTAACAGGTTGATTGACCATGCAATAGGTTCATCTGGCAGCAAATCTTGTAATCAGCATAGTTAATAATTCAGTAAAAAAGAAATATTTAAATTTAGATTATTTCTACAAAAAACTGTATATTGTACTAATAGGAATCAGAATAAGAGCAATTTAAACATCTAAGGAACCATAGCTTTTCCTTCTGTGGATCAACTCTCAGACAAACTTCTACGTTAAGTAATTTGTAGTTCCCTCAAGAAACTGAAGTGTTCATGATGAAAAAAGATCCTTTGGGCAAATTTGAGAATGCTAATATTGTATACAAAATTAAATGTATGTCTCAGAATTGAAAGTTGATACGTAAGTAAAACTAAAACGAACCTTAAGACACGACTCAAAGAACACAGAAGGAATTCAGCGAATAATTGAGTTTCTCAACTCAAAGCATGTTCATATTATGGTGCCATGAAAATGATTAGTATGTCGCCACGATTTTAGATAAGGAAGCGAGTTATTATAAACGTCTTACATACGAAAAAGTAGGTACAGATTAAACAACAACTAAAACCCCTGCAAACAAGAAGATCGAGCTGATTTAGACAAAGTTTACGATAAAATCATACATAATAAATAAAATTCGTAGTTAATTCTAACAAGTGGTAATTATTATTTATTTACTTATTTATTTTAGTACACACGGGCTAATACACAATTAGGTACATACGAATAATAGATTTTATTATGGGTGCATAACAAAATCAAAACTTCAGACATAAAAACATAACAAGCAAAACAATTATCATTATTAAGTAATTATGGTAATATTCGTATCGGAGTTCCCAATTTATACGATTTCTGATTCACTACAATAGCTTGTAGGTACTATTAATAAAACAAAATGAAGTTCCTGAAATTTTGCGCCTTCCTGATGATATGGAATAAATGCGAAGTCAGTGGTTGAGTAAACAACAATAGGGAGAAATTAATTAATTAATTAAATTTAACAACGGAGCGTTAATCAATTCCATTTTATAACATATTCCGTACGTGTAAACTTGCGCATAATTTGGTTATATTTTTGAAACAATATTCAAGGTGTCTATTTTTACTGAAATTACAGAAATTGGAGTTCCAAATTGGTTCATATGATAAATTTTTAAATGAATGATTGTATGAATATATTAATGTACTACCTTTTTGCTTTTGAAGTTTAATATACAGGATGACCCGAAAAGTATGCAAAATGATCGTTGCAGTCAAACGGCAAGTTTAATCGAAAACTTTTTCAAACAGAACTTTTTCCCTATTTTAATACAAGTTGGTCTGTGCCTATCTACATTTGAATTACTACATAGAGTGTTAGAAAAAAGGTTTCGTTTAAATGACACCCCTGTGAAATATGGGTCCAATGTTTGTTTGTCTTTTATTGACATCGGGAATTTTACGTTGAATTTTTTTTTGTCTTCAAACGTAAGTGTTTGTATGCATTCTATTGTTCCTCCATACCTATATTTATCCATTTGCGAACCTTTTGAGTCACTTAAAGTCAATAAAAAGATATTTAAATATCGTCGCGATTTGTTTACTTAGCGCCCACATTTTGGCATTGTGAATAACTTTTTCCTATGACTTTTTTACAATTGGAACCATATTTCATATGGCTCCCATTTAAACGAAACCTTTTTTCTATTTTCGAACACTCTGTGTAGTAAATCAATTTTCTATAATACATATGACCTTGTAAACAAGTTTTGTTTGAAAAAGTTTTCGATTGAACTTACAGTTATCTCATGACTATAGTAGAACACTAATAATGTAGCACTCACAAAATTAAATCAAAAATACACACATTCCGAACTTTGGCAGAGTCACTACTCTCATTCCGATTTGTGCTGCTATTCAGTTTATTCACTTGTATGATTTCCTCAGATAAAATAATTCGAAGTGGTCTGTATTCTGTCGAAACTGCCAGACGCGGATCGCGATTTCGATCTTTTTGGATCTCATCAGCGCGTCGCAGGCAGCTCCG